GTAGCTAAACGTAGTCTGAACATACGACGGAGTAGGACGAAGGAGTGAAATTCGACCGTTTCTTCTTTATAAAGTCGATCCACTGCTTTCTTCTGGCTTTGCTTCAGGACGATTGATCGTTCTCCTCCTTTCCTACTGGAGCTCTGGATAGAGCATCAGCAGAGATGTGTTCTTTTCCTGGGACGTACACTATGTTGAAGCTAAATCTCATCAGACGCATGCGGAATCATTGAACACGTGGTGGTAGGAGATCCAAATCTTTGTTGCCTAGCAACGRGATGAGAGGTTTGTGATCTGTCTCAATCTTGAATGTCATGTCTATCAGAAGATCACTGAATCTTTTGCAAGCCCAGGTGACTGCGAGACACTCTTTATGCTCTGAGGGTACCGCTTCTCTGCTTCAGACATGGATCTTGAGTTGTATGCTACGGGTCGCCACTCACCATTTTCCTGTAGCTGTGTTACAACGGTACCAAGGCCATAAGAGGATGMGTCTGCGCTGACCACTGTGTCTGCTGYAGGATCATAATGTGCCAGGATCTTGTTGGGATCACTGAGCTCTTTCTTCAGTTTCTGAAATGCTTGTTGCTGTGAGGGTCCCCAGTGCCAATCATTGTTTAGGCTGAGTAGCCTTCGTCGCCACTTTGGCCACTCATTGGGCTTAGAAAAGTCGAAATTTTCCGGTGGGGCTATTTGGAAGGCTGCCATCATTCAACCTATCCCACTTCTGACGCCAAGTAGTGTTTTGTGTKGTCGATGGATCTAGATACAACTAAACTAGAATAACATACATGTACCGGTAGCCATCTTGGCTAAGACACATTCCGTCACGTGACTTCTTWATTAACACAGGTATCCCGACATCCCCCTTTCAGGTTTACAATAAACTTTAACCAAACAAACTGTTAAGTTACATTATGTAAATCACATGATCAATGTCATAATGTCAATAAAACGATATTACATAATCAGTGTCAAAATAATGTTTAKAAACAAATAAATGTTGTCTCAACATTCTTCTACGTATCTTTTTGGAGGTGGAAKCACTCTTCCACTCCTAGTTTGGGTTGTATCTGCATTGGCTGTTTCCGCCTTAGGTTGTTCTTTAGTTTGTTCTTCAGCTGCTGMCTTRTCAGGGTTTYTTTCATCAGGTAGATGATTAAGGTGTTTCCTGTTCCTTCTAACTTCAGTACCTTTCTCTGTATTCACACAGTAGCTCCTTGTTGCAGCTTCTTTCTGTACAGTTCCTTTAGTTTGGAGATCTCGTATCCAAACCTGGTTTCCTGTATCCAGTGRTGGCWATTCCTTTGCTCCATGATGAGAATCAAAGTTCCTTTTCTGTCTAAATTTGATGTTTTCATCCTTTTCCTTGAAGCATTGGAGGTCGATAACAGATGGTTTTAGTTGATCTGGAACTATGGGAAGTGTTGTGCTTAGACACAACRTAACATTTTAATAAATTTCTAATGAATGGCGATTATGGAGAGCTGGTTTGTTTACRGATTTCCGAAATCGTCTTACCCGCCTCTCCCTTGGAATTCCAAAATCGATGACCCCCCCCTCCTCCTCTCTGGATTTCCGAAATGTCGCCCATCATATGGTACGGATATTTTCTGGAACTACTGTACCCAATGTTCTTGTGTATTGTTCATTGTTAATAAATAAATATCGTCCAAGGACTTTAGCGTTACTTACATGCTGTTCTTTAGCCTTAAGCATTGCTTGAATGAGGATTCTTTGCTCCTTCTGGATTTCTCTAGCATAATCTTCAGTTATATAAGGATCATTGTATAGGGTAGAATCTTTAATCTTTTTCCTTCGTGACCATACTTTGTCCCGATCTTCTTGACAAACGAAGCGAGCAATAATGGATCTGGTTCTGTTTGGGTTAGGTTTTCCAACTCTGTGGACGGCRTGGAATCTTATATCTGAGATGGACAAGTCTTCCTCCAAAATCTGTTTGTACTATCGCYTTACAGTCTTTCATGTAAGGATTTATCGATGTTGTTAAAGCGCAAGTTTTCTCTTCRGGTATACTGCTCCAAGTTTATGTTCTGTTCAGCTTCCTTGTTCAATCTTTCTTCTAAGACGGTAATTCTTTCTTTAAGAAGTTTAACTTCMGAGTCTTTCTTGAGTGTTTCTTYCCCAAACTCTACTCTTAGGTTGTTTAGGTCTTTGCTTGTAGTATGGAGTCTTTGTTTGATGCCCTTTATGGTTTCTTTCAGTTCTCTCACTTTGTTTTTCAGCTCATTTCGGAGACTGTCAAGTTTTGAGTTAATGTTATAGCCTTCAAATTGCACGATTCCGAAGTTGATAACAATTTTATTAATCTTTCTTCTGAGTAGAGTGCACGTCACATAAGCATGAAACAATTCTTAATATGTATTGCTAAATAAGATTTAGTTATCAACTAGCTAAGAATTCAACAAAGCATAAACACAATGCCAATTATTTCAATTCCTTTGTAGCATTGTTCTCAATTCTTAGTTAGTTGATAACTAAATCTTATTTAGCACTACATAGTTAAGAATTGTTTCATGCTTATGTGACTTGCACTCTACTTGTCCACGACAATCTTTACAAGCTCCTTGTCCGAGGGAGGGTTGTCCAATACTACTTATCTCTTGCTAATCCTATATCATACGTCATACATGACGACAAACTTGAGGTCATCACATTAACATTACTAAAGCTGCTGATTACCATAGCTTTCAGTTCTTTAAATTGGTCGACGTTCTCAGCGCCATGTCACTCATGTTCATTTTGCTCTTGTTCGTGTTTGTCACTGAGGCTTTCCACAGCTTCAGTGTCTGGCTTTTTAGGTTTTCTAGCTCCTCTATTCATAGCTGGTTATAAATATTGTTTTTGCACCAAAAATTGTCTAAAGAGAAAGGCAGTAACAACGGGATTTTATGGAGCTCTAAAGAAGACGTCTATACTCCATGACGACCCAGTCCCAGTCCCTGGAAAACTTAGCTACATTAGCATAATAGTCTTAACAACCTATGCACATGCAACAAACGACTCATAAACGGTCGCTGTCTGTATTGAGGATATACCATTTGATATTGAGTATATATAAGACTAGAATATTACTACAAACAACTCAAGAGAAATTGAATCAAATATGAAATTGTCTAAGTTAAACAAACTTATCCTTGGTCGTAGTCAGGCATGATCGTGACGCTCACATCTAAGTCACGTAGAAACTTAGACACATTTGATAGCCGAAATTCTTATTATTATTCTAAATTTCAAAAGATAAAAACTTTGTTTTATCTTTCAATATTTAATATTGGGGCGAGATGGCATAGTGGGGGCAACGTGGTTGGGGCAAAATGGTATAGTGGGGGTGAGATGGCAATGGGGCGAGATGACCAGTAACGCCTCTGGMATCTCTCAAATGAATCCTAATACAGAAGATTAACAACCAGTGGTGACCATTTAGAGGTTGACTGTGATGACTAGAGGTCAAGCTTACAGTAGATAACATATAGGTACAAGAAGTTAATTATTGGAACAGAGGACTACTTAATACAGGTTTGACTGTATCTCAGTTATTGAGACAGAAAACGATTAGGAAATGTATGATTCAGTGATTTGATCAGTCAATGAAATCAGAACAAACATATTTGTTGGTAAAGATGCCTCTCCATTTTAAGAACTATTGTAAACATGTAAGAAAAAATTCAATAATAATGCCTTACTGCATCCAAAGTCGAAGACAAAAATGATGGTTAACATCCTCTGATATAAAGATCACATTTCATCATATTGCAATTATTAGACTCTGTGAGCCTATTGAGTTCATTCAACGGTCAAAAGGACTGGGTCTGGGGGCAGAAAGGAAAAGTGAACCAAGAAAAAAGAAAAGAAAACCTGGTGACACTGAAGAAAAGGTTAGAAATAGAACTAACAATGAGAAATGAATTTTTTAATCTTCTATTTTTTATCATTTCTTCATTCATCTCTTTTTGATTTTATTTGTCTAAATTTTAAACTTATCCCTGCATTCATTAATTACAGTAGTTGAAGCCTATTCTTTTGATTTTTTTTGTTTAATTTTGARGCGTACTTTCTGTCTTCATTCTCTTTCTTTATCTTCAACCTGAACACAGTAAGGGACTGTTCATTAAATATGCCTCGGGGGTGGTCTGGAGGAAAAGTAAAAAAACCTTGGGAAAATTMAAAGCCCCCCTTACTCTATCACAATATTTTTTCGAGCTCCCCCTCCTTCTGACATTGARGAAAAATATATATATATAGCAATGTAAAATAGCTAACCCCCACCATAGGGAAAATCTTTACACATATGTAAGCATCATTCTTCATAGCCTGATGATTGTTTAATAACATGAAACTTGAAGTTGCTATCCTGTATGGTGCGCCATTTGTTTCAAAATAAAATGCATCTCCATATTAAACTTTTTCTTCTTTCAAATCGCAATTTTCCTCTTTTAGACAACTATTGAACCCATAGAAAAACACTAAAACTATACTAGTGTGTTGATAAAAACACCATGAAACAATTATATTTCACCTTCACTAGTCATTGTAACACACCGTGATGCAAATATTCCACCAACACAGATCAGTTTTACACTGTGATAGATTTATTTCACCTTGATGGGTCAGCAGTTTAACACCATATATAGGTAAATGTACAAYGTTCGCAGATAGACATACTCCTTTTTCAATGGACATAGACAGTTGAACTCTTGTTGCTGATCTGCCAGACCTTGTTGTAGTTGTTGCAAAAAAAAAAGAAAAAATGAAAATACCTTCAAGTGATCTAAGGATTTAGAAACTTTAAAAGGTGTCACAAAAAATCAAGTGAATGCTTATGTACTTAGACCTTTATAAAAAAGAAAGTAAAGTTGTTGTTTAAAATTATCATTGATAAGAAATGTATAATAAAAAAACATTGATATTATATATTATACATATTTTGATTTTGTGTTTCAGCCCCCCCTTCAAGTCAGCAAATGCCATTAAAGCCCCCCCTTCATTATCTGTTTATTTTTATTTTTCAAAGCCCCCCCTACTTTTCCTCCAGCCCCCCCTAAGGCATAATTAATGAACCATCCCTAAACAAGTCTTAGTTTCAAAGACAGAGATAGACAAAAGAATGTAACCTTGTATTTCTATAATAGCTATAARTAAAAATATCTCATATAAAATGTTGTTAGACTATATGGTGCAAGTACGAGAATTGATGTTTTTTTTTTAAATTGCAGTTTTAGTTGATTCAACCCAGGTATTTACTATAACTTGTTATTTTTTATAGAAAATTGGTCCAATCAAAGAGAAAGATGGCCGTGTTAGACATGTGAAGGGTGTTGGCGAAAAAGTAACTGTCCAGGAACCTTTAGGTATTAGAAATTTCAATATCATATCTAGATTTTATAATTGTTTTGTAACTTGAGATAAARGTCAGAGTTTGGATTGGTCCTAGAAAATCTGGACAGTCATGGAATTTCATATTTTAGTTTTTGAGGTCTGGAAATACATGTACATGGGGTCATGAAAACATGTATCTTATGAATAAATTTAAAGCTAATGGGCAGAAGATATYCTGCATGATTCACTTGCTGTCAGCCATGTGCTGCATGACACCACTGAAAGTGTTCTTTTCATTGAAAACCAAGAAAAAGTCCTGGGATGTGTTGATATATTAAACCTTCAGTGGAATACAAAACCTGAAATAGTCAACTTTTATGTAGGTCAATTCCKACTCTCTACTAAGGAATGAAAATTTGTTCTCTATTCCTTCAACACTGTTATAAAAAAATCATATTTTTTCTACCTGTGCAATATATATGACTTTGTCTTTTATTGAAAGGCTGTAACAACAATATTGTTATATTGAAATCCTTCCTGGCATCAGCATTCAAAATCTCAACTGACTTCTGCCTTAATTCCACTCATTTCCTATAACCTTTGAAACCAATCTTTACAGTTTTAAATCTTTATCTCTTGTAATTTTTTTCATCAAATTTAAGATTTCCGACGTGGAGTTGGTGCAGTGATAGAAAAAGGTCCTCACAAAGACATGCATGGAAAGGTTGGTTAGTTGTCAGACATCACATGGATTATGAGGGGTTTTTCCTAAAGGAAAACTTTTGACAATAATATTGTCAGGGGGCATCTGACTTGAGCAAATGTATTATTACTGTTAAATTAATTTTGTAAATGTTTGTATAAGACATAAGACATGAAGGGAAGTGTGGTGCCTCTATATCCTCCTTCTACAATCTCACATTTTGGCTTTTACTATGTAAGGTTTGAATGCAAATTCTAAAATTTGTCAGTACCACTACCCCTGCCCGGGATCCGCCACTTGTAAGCTGAATTGTAAGTGTTAAGTGTGTGATGTGTTTTTCAACAGATAATATCAGTAGATGTTGATAATTCAAGGGTAACAGTAAGACTACACATCAGCGGTGAAGTAAGTTAATTTTTATGTAGTGTATATTGCATTAGTGTGTATATTTGTTAAAATTTCGTTACAGACGAGTTTTCCGTCTTCTAATATGAATTAAATTTCATTTTATAATGCTTTTTTCCTTTACCTTTATTTCGTTGTGTCTTTCCTTATTTTCATTCCCTTCCTTCGTAGATTCGTGTTGTAACAGTTTTTATTGTACATTGTAGAATACAACCATACATCAGTTTCATGTACGGTTAATTGACCAGGAAGACTACAAAGACCTCTCGAGTAGGTTTATTAGTCGGACTAGCCGAAGGCTAGGTCGACTTGAGTTTTACCTTTTAGCCAATCTATCTATCTATCTATCTATCTATCTATCTATTTTGTCGCGTTTGGACCACCGGAAGTTAAGAATTTAATATTTAACTATTAACTATATCGTCAGTAAATGTTAAATGTTACTTGTGCTTTTATGTGATAAAAAACTATTCATTTACAAATGTGGTATCTGTGATTTCATCGGAATGCATCTGTCTAGGCATCAATAGTACGCGCATGTGCAGATCGCATGGAGCTTCGAGTAGTATGCTTACAGTCTTTCTAGCGTTAGACAGTCTTGTGTGGGCAAAGATTTCAAATTATAACAAGAAGAAACTTTGTTTATTAATAACAATAAGGCGATTTTAATAGGCATCTTTTGCTTTGATAATTATTTTTCTTGGCCTGGGAGGTCAACGTATTATCACTTAGCAACATGTTGTCTGCCACGTTTGATTTTATCAGTCAAAGCAAGGACTCTTTTAAAACGTTTATATCGGTATTATTTACATGACCTTTTGGGTCAAGAAATTTTGCATATTTTGAACTAGACGCTCTTATTAGACCCTGAGTTGGCTTTTTTGGRAAAAAAAATAAGAAATATATTTTTACTGTCTTTCTCAATTTTCAAAAACAGCTAGTCCGACTTCACGCTCCAASAGCGTCTAGTTTGCATTTATGTCTGCTTGCCTGACTGATAAACAATAAATGCGTACAAGTCTGGACTTATCACTTGTCGACCATGCCTTTTTATAACTCACGATATATTTACCGTATTTTAGTAAGTTGAATAAACGTTTCAATAGTATTTTTTGGAGTGACGAATTCGCGAGAGGTCGWCTCTCGGGAGATAAGGCCAACTGGGAAATACGGTTATGATATATAGGGCCAGTTTTCAAGTCGCAGCAGATTAGCTCCGTACTGCTGTTTTAAGGCTGCGTCATTTTCTTGGGGCCGCCAATAAAGAACGATTTTTAGGCTAACAAAACTAATTTTTTTTTATTGGTAATTTCGAACGGCATATTTTTTCATGCTTTTGTTTCATTTTCTATTTAGTTCTGTAATATCCAACCTCCATAACGGTACTATTTGTCTTGTCCTTTTTTTAGATAAACRAAAAGATAAACACAGAGATTTAGAACGTAGAAGCAGTAAAAAGAGAAAAGAAGACAGGTAAGGACGACTTGTGTACAGTTGTGTAGGTCTTCGCCGTAGTATTCTTGTGGTACTGAAACTCGTTTTTTTTTAGGAGCTCAGCCTTTTTTCGAATTAATATACTCAAACCAAACAACTCTATTTTGATCAAATAAATGGTTGTAGGTCGGTCTGTTTATTATGATTTAAGCGCTACTTCAACCTAAAAGTTATTAGCGGGCTAGCAGTGGCTAGCCAGCTATCTTTTCTATCTATGTATCTGTCGTGTCGCAGTTTCCAGTCTCTCTCGAACCACAGGAAGCCATATCTATTAGTTTGCAGTCTCTCTCGAACTGAAAATTTTCTCAGGAATCCAAAATATGGCGGATACTTCGCCGATAACAAAACTATGAAAAAAAACTATCAAAAGCTATCAATAAGAAATACCAACCAAAAGCTTTCTCACTGAAGAATTGAACTAGGATTTTGTATTTGTGAAGTCTAAAATGTCAGTTCTCAATAAACTGCGGGTTTTTTTGTGTGCGGACTGAGTATCTTAGTTTAAAAATAGAGCCATTACTTAAAGATGAAATTTTACAAAACAACATAAAAACAATGAGCGCGCGCTCCGAGAAGATCTAATAAGTGCGGTAATTTTTAATTACACCACAGGGAGCCCAAGCAATGACTTTGAACCTATAATAGTTAAAAATAAAATTTTACTTAAGAAAATAGTCTACTTTTATTTTATTCAGTGTCACAATGCATTATAAATGGGTTTTAAAAAATATCCCCTCCATGTATATATATAGTGATAAGGGAGGAGACTCCGCTCGAAGTTCTCCTAAAAATGAGACAAAAACAATCGACAAAAATCCTTTTTTCGCGCCGAAATTAAATCAAAACGAACATTTATCTGAGACAGCATATGTAAATGAACGGTTTTTACCTTATTTTTGACGAGAGGCATCGATAGAAACGCTTTTTCGGGCAAAAAAAATCCGAAAAAGTGCCCCCCAAAATAGCCCAAACCCGTTCGCATCGAAGTTATCCTGAGACACTAGCGCGCGCAAAACTGAAAACTAGACAAATTTGGAGACTATATATGACTATATGGGGAAGGGGGGGGGGCACTCGGGACAGTGCGCGGGTTTAAAAAATTTCCCCACCCTGTATATACATAGTGGGAGGGGAATTTTTTTAAGACCCATTTATATTACATTGTRACACTGAATAATATAAAACTAAACTATTTTTTTAGGAAAAATTTTATTTTTAACTATTATAGGATCAAAGTTATTGCTTGGGCTCTCTGTGAAATARCTTTTAGGTTGAAGTAGCGCTTTGGTCAGATTTTATCCATGTATGACATGTTCACTGAAGGCTATTCATTGGCAAATAGACCTAATCGGCCTCAACCCAATTCAAACCACCTGGGAGTAAGTTTCATTGTAGGTTATATTTTCATTTCACAGTTGAATTCTTAGAAACAAAAGTTCTTTTTCACACAGGATTTGAATTGGGTGGCAACGTACATAGCAACGCCGTTAGCCGATTAGGTCTATTGTGCACAATTCTCCAGCTGAAGGGGAAGAAATGTTTCAATGAAAATGAAGGACACATTCTCATTTGCTCTCTAGAGACTGAAGTAAAAAAAAACGTAAAATGGATATTACTACACCTTTGTACGCTCTTAATGCATTGTTTTCTTTTGTGTCTCATTTGACTATCACACTTTAGTATAGTAAAGACTTCTTTCGGGGTTAATGAATTCACTCTAAAATGTTAATTTTGTGAAGTAAAAAAACCCTGTGAAGTAGATACTAATAAACACTAACACCTTAGAAGTCTATTTGACTCTCACACTTTAATAGTCAATTTTGTTTCACGGGTTTAATGACTTCTCTCTATTCTGTGTTGTAAACTCTACTAATGAAAGTTTCTTTGTACTTGGATCATTTTGTATTTAGTTACGACAAAGCCAAAAACAAATACAAAGATGACGAGCCCTCACCTAAACACCATAAGAGCCRTCATAGTAATGGAGAYCAACCCAAGGAAGCTAAGAGCTGGTTGTATCCACAGTTACGGGTTAGAATTGTTAGCAAAGACTATAAGAAAGGTCGCTACTACAATACCAAAGTAAGTGTATGTTGTCTGTCAGTGGGAGGTGATTAACTGATGTACAAAGAAGTAGTTATATCTCGTCGTATTGTTGTGTTGACTGATGGTGCTAACGATAGCCCCATGTGCATCTTTTGCGCGGATTTCTCACAACTTTGAACAATACTTCATTTTTAAAGCAAAACGAACGATTGCAAAAGTTGTCCGCTAAGCAAGGGATTTAAAGGGGATTTGAGAAACGTTCTCAGTCCCGCAACAATGTCGCCTTGCGTGACGACAGAGTTGCCAAGGAGGCTAAAGACTGCAGAGTACCATAAAATGCATGAGGCTAGGATTTGAAGTTTCAAGAATGTCAAGAAAAAAATACTGATCGTCTAGAAAAAGAGAATAAAATAAGAAAGGGAAAGCAGGATTTGCAGAATTGCTCATTTAAAAACTTCAGTACGGATAAGAGCAATAGTAAATCAACATTTTCTTTTCAGGTTCGTGTCCTAGACGTCACAAGTAGAACTAGTTGCGTTTGTGAAACACAAGATGGAAAGGTTTTAGAAGGTAAATAGTTGTATTCATGAGAATGTTATGTGAATGATTTCTTACTAAAGAAATTAGCGAATGATTACAAGTTATTGTAAATGATTTTTTTTACGAACTTGAACTGTTTATGAGTTGATATCCGACAAGTAATTGTCAGAATAAGAAATTTTATTTTTATATTTAAGTGCACATATGACACCTTTCAGAAAATCACTTTTATCCGAAAGATACAAGCACTTTTTTGAAGAAAGAAATAGATTTTGAATTGTATTTTCTGAGTTATATACATTTTGGAAATTGAAAATGTAAATGAAGTGACGTCAACTAAGGAACTGGTCAAGACTTTTTACATTGTTTGTGTTATATTGTTCTTGGTTGAAGAGCTCAAATCATCAATCATAGTATAATAATCGAGAGCTGGATAATCTTTTTCCAATATAACAAAAAGAATAACGTTCTCTTTCATGATTTTGTATATAAAAAAATCATTCCTTAGTCGACGTCACTTCATTTGCATTTTCTAAGTTTCAATTGCCCATAACTTAGGAAATACAATTGAAAATCAATTTCTTTCTTCACAAATGTACTCAGCAGCATTTTTTTCTTTTGGATGATAATGAATTTCTAATGGTGACATGTCACCTAACTAGAATCTAGTCGCCATATTTGTGTTTTCCCTACCTACTACACACGGGATATGACCTGATATGCTTGTAGTAAAGTAGCCAATCRGAATGCTGATGTCCTTCGGTGGTAAATATTGTGTGATGCTAATGATTCCATGTTTTTAGGAGTCTCTCAGTCCATGTTAGAAACTATTGTACCGAAAACAGATGATGCCTTTGTTAGAATAGTACAAGGAAAACACAAAGGGCAGGTTAGTGTACTCAATTCTAGAGCACAGGGTGCACACGGGGCGCTTTCCGCTTGACGCTTTTCATCCAGCTCAATAATTATTGGCGGTACAACTATCGAATACCCCGCCACTCAAACCCTCACTGGTAGCCGCGGCTACAGCTACAGGCCAGATACACAGGAATACCGAAATATGTATTTAAACAACTTTCTTATTTATTTACTGGACTATTACTCAATAATGTTCTTGGGCATTTTAATATTACTATTTTATGATACAGGAATGAATAAAGTCAGATGAAATGTAAACAAATACTAATTTCAGTATTATCGCCGTTAAAAGACACAGGAAGACCGGTCACTTAATTTTGACCTTTAGCCGGTGTAGCCATGTAGCCGACTACAGGTCATAGTGTTTTCTTCGTTCTATTAAAAAAAACACACAGCAAGACCGTTCACTTTATTTTGACCTGTAGCCGGTGTAGCCATGTAGCAGACAGGTCACAGTGTTTTCTTCGTTCAATAAAAAAAACAAGCGGC